TATTTCTGCTACAATAGAACCTAGAGGCCCCAACTGAGATTGTGCTTAACGCAAGTGGGCCCCAGGACAAACACGGAGCTGGCAATTTCAATAGACCAGGGAAACAAATGGTGTGAGAGGAAATGGAGGCTGAGGAAGGGGAAGGGTCCCCTTGCCCGAGATCACCTAGCAGACTGGTGGCAGGTCTGAATGACCTATCTATCTACAGGGCCACACTACCATTGCCCTTTGCAGTTCCATCAGCCCCCTTAACTGCCCTCCTGCACACACCCCTTTCCCAACGCAACAGCCTACTACATCAGTCGTCCACAACTGCTAGTGTTGGGGGGGAAATAAGCTGGTGGAAGGGTGAAAGAGGGGCAGAGTTAAGGGTGCGGTGTGTGGTCGGTGGTGTATGGTAGCTGTGGCAAAGGGAAGGCACATGCCTGCAGGTGAAGGAGTAGAGGGTATATTTTGCTTGGTGGCTTGCCTGCCCATTTCCTTGCTTTTGGGGTTTGTGTTAAGTGGGGGGGGGGGTGGCAACCTCAACTGCTTGGCAACAAAGTCGTCTTTATGTTAATAATTGTGGTGGTAGTCATGTCGGTCCCAGGGTATTAGAGAGACAAGGTGGGTGAGGAAATATCTTTCATTGGACCAACCTGTGTTAGGGAGAGAGACAAGCTTTCCAGCTACATCGAGTTCTTCCTCAGGTGAGAGTTTGGGTGTTGTCCTCTTGGCTGTGGGGTGAGGCAGCTGGCCAGGCCAGTGGTATTCTTGGAGCTGTACGGTCATCATTGGCAATATTGAGGTCTAGGAAAGAGTAAACAAGGCTGAGGCCTCTGTGCCTCATGCTTAGCAGGGCCAGGGGGTTTCCACTTTGGCACAAGATAATCCTGACCCTTCGTTTGCATCATCATGACGCCTCTTTCTGTAACAGGGCCGAGACACCAACCTCTCATGCCACTGGCTCATCCCTCAGCTCTGGTTCTGCACGTGGAGGACTTGAGACAGTTGGGATCTCTATGCCTGTTTCAGGAAGTCAAGGACTGCCACATGATAAAGGGGGAAAAAAGGAAGAAATGAGACTCTGGGAGACAGAGTGCAGGGGGAGGGGAAATACTCCCAACTAGGCATGTCCTGGATGGCACCAACTTCCCGGTGAAAGTCCCAGGCACTGATTCAGCAAGACTAGCAACCCACTGCTTGTCCCTAGTGCCTTTACATGGCAGACCTCAAAGAACTCTACAGGGCTTTAAAGGTGGGGCAGTCGTATTCCCTCCGTTTTACAGGCAAGGAAGGTGAGTCCCCTCATTTGGCCAGGATCACGCAGCGCAGTCGCCTTAAACCCAAACCGTTCTACTGAGAGCTGGGGGCGGATCGACAGACTTGGGTTTTCAGCCTTAAGCGTGTGACTGGCCCACCTTTCCCCGGCTACCAGTTCTGGGTATGACGTGGTGCATGTGTTTTGGGGAGGTGGGGGATTCCTGTGGGTGGGGACTGGTTGGTAGGAATTGCAGAGGGCTCCATGTACTTTCACGCCAGGCCTGGCCTCAGTCCCCTGGGAGTTGTTTGGCTCCGAAAAGTGAAAGCAGCAGAAGTTTAAAGTTCAGTCAGAATTGCCCTGGAAAGTCCCATGTCCCGTCTGCTGAGACTTCTTATCTAGTGCCTAGGGGCTGAGGAGCAAGGCCACGCCTATAGTCCTGCTGAAGGCAGGGGGACTGGGAGGGACGCAGTGGGAGCTGGCTTATAGAAACAGGGGCTGTCCCTGATAAATGGAGAGGGAGGCCCAGCTGCAGGAGCCACCAAGGACCTTGTCTACGCTGAGGTTGCCTGGTAGTCTCCCAGTGCCTTTTCCCTGGTGTTGGTAGTGGTGCAGTTGCTAGGTAAATGGGGCCCAGATGCTTTCACTGCCGTGCCTGCTGAGCTACACAGAGCTCTGCAAATGCCCCTCTGTCCTGACCAGCAGCCCCCACAGCCCCCCTTCCCTCAGTGCCGTCCATTGGAAACCTTGTTTCTCTCCTTTCTCCCCACCCCCCAACAACCAGAAGCTGGTTCCAGTAGGTATTTTCCTTGCTGAATGCCCCACATGCACAGCTGTCAGTTGCTCTTCCCCCTACGCTGGGAGCTCTAGCTGTGCAGGGGGCCCCCTCCCCCATCCCCATTTGTTGCTCAAACAGTGGGTGGCCACTCCCTCCAGTGCAGCAGGGGAATTCCCCATGCCCATGTGACCTGGGGTTTCCCCCGGGGCAATGCAGTAAGGCACAAATGCTTGGCTTGGCTCTTCCTGCTGCTCCTTCTGCCTGAAGGGGACCAGCTTGGGGTCCCCTGGATCCTGGCTGCTGACAGACCTGAACTTCTGTCCCTGCTCAGCAATGAGGTCGGGATAAGCTTCCAGCATTGCCCAGAAGAAGGCACCAAAGTCGCCCCCTGTAGAACTCCTCCAGACCAAACTAATCCCTCCCTCCATCCCTACCAGTCACGTCGTCCACCAGGCCCAGTGTGTCATCCAGGACACCAGTCCCTCCACCTTCCATGCCCTCCCCTGGGGGCGCCCCAGCACTCCAGCCTTTACCCTGCAGTAGTGTCCTGAGGGGAGCTGCTGAGACCAGACGGGTTGAGATGCCCCCAGTAAATGAGCAGCACCCCTTATCTTACTCGCGAACAGCAGCTTCTCCATGCCTGGCCCGTGGTGGCACCTGGACAGGGAGCAGCTGGTGAAAGCTGAGCCCAGGTGTGACGGAGCACTGCTGGCACCTCCTCTATAACTTCCCCCTGTGGCTTTGGGACTCCTCAGTGCTTTAGTGCCCCAGTGGCTCCTCCCTCGCTCCCATCTGCAACCAGCCAGAAGATTGTGTCCTTTCCAGTGAGACCCCCAAGCTGGCCACGCTGCCTCGCTCGTTCTCAGCCTCCCGGCACCGTTACTGCAACACACTGTGAAGCCACCTGCCCTGAGAGCAGGGTGCTAACGGGCCCCTAACAAAGCCACCATCCCCACCATTGCATCAGCCTGGTGCTCTGCTCTGCAGTGAATGCTGAGTCCAGTTCAAGGACCCTGTGGTGGTGTGTGCAGAGCCTCCCCTGAGGTTGGGCCTAGCTCCCCTGACAATCAGCTTTCCCCGCACCACTGGGCCGTCCTGCACCATGTGGGAGCCAGAGCTCTGGCAGGAGCTGGCCTTAGGCTGGAACTGCCTCCCACAGGAGATCAGAGACCTCACTGTGATCAGAACGAAATGCAAAACTTGCCTCTGACTTAGCCTGTAGCACACATGCAACCACCCCCTCATTCTCACCCCTCCCGCACTGTACATGTTAACCCAGCTCTCTGTCCCGCAGCCTGGGAGTGGGGCCTTGAAACCAGAGTGGAGTTACTGTTTCTATCTTTAAATGCCTTGGAGGTGCTCAGACGCCAGGGGGATGGGGGCCAGGTCTGGCTAGAGAGGGAGCTTGGGAGGGGGTTCATGGTTCTGCTTGGGGGTGGCTTTTGGCGCTGAAGTAATGACAGGCGTTCTGTGCGGGGCTGGAAATTCCCTTCAAGTTTCTCACTCTTGTTCTGACTGCTCAGGGTGCGACAAGGACCGGTGTGAAACTCGCACAAGTGCGGCTCGTGGGACCTCACACGTGTCTCTTGGTGTCTGGCGCCCTGGGCTCCAGTCTTCTTCGCAGATTTCTGTGGGGGCTGAGAGTTGGGCCCAGGTCGGGCTGCCGGCTTTAGCAGACAGTGGCGGGTGCTGAGTCCTGGTAGATATAGTTCCATCTGGTCAGCCGTGACCCCTAACCCAGCACTGGTGCTCCAATTCGGGGTGGGGGGGCTGGGAATCCAGTTCTGGTTTTTCTCTCTCCTCCTGTGGACCCTGGCCCAGTTCATTCCCAGACCAGTCAGAGCTGGGGCAAATCACTCTGGCTCAGTGGATGAGGGTATTTGAAGAATCCAGCTCTGGCTGCTGTCCTAGCACTGGGACTCCAGAGAATGGCAGGTGGTCTTTGGCTAATCTCCTGGATCCCTCCCCGCGCTGCGTCCCACGCCCCTGCTGCCTGCCCTTGAGCCAGGAAAGCAGAAGTGCTGTGGCTGCAGCGAGGGGGAGGGAGTGGAATTCCCCTACCAGCTGCTGGCCAGCACTAGGTTGTGGTTCCGTTGCTGCAGTATCTCCCTGGGTCTGGGGGATGTATTCCAGGCTCCCTAGGCCCTTGGGTTTGTGTCCCAGCAGGAACGACTCTACCCTTCCTGCTTCCGAGAGTCTGTATGGGTTACTGGGTCTGGGTCTCAGACAGGAGCTGGAGGGCTAAGTTCTCATGGGCTCTGCAGGGGCATAAGGATCCCCTCACTCTGCTAATAGGACTTGGGATTCAGTCTGGCCTCCTTAGCTACCTCTCTGTTGGCTGCTGAGCTGGCAAGGGGTGGGGGGACCTCTATTGTCTGTGAGGCTCTTTGGACTCCTAGGATGAATGGGGTCCCTTCTGCCCACGATCTGTCCCAGGCTGCCTCTCTGTGGGCCCCAATCTGCTTGCCCATCTAGAGTGTCCGCATGGGACACCCGGGCTGGCTACAGTGGGGGCGACTGTCCTGAGCTCTGGTGGGGAATGCTTGGAGGCAGCAAAGAGTGAGTGTCACCTGGTAACACCCCTGCAAATAGGCCATAGAACCATCCCTCTCTGGACGTGGGCCTACCCTGTGCAGGGCAGCTCTGCCCACCCTGCCTGTGCTAGGGAGAGCCTGTGTGGAGAGTGGGTGTAGGCCGGTGAACCCGCCATCGCTGAACCTGTTTCTCTAAGTGGCCCATGTTGGCAGGGAGCTGCTCCGTTCCCTTCTGCCCGACACCAGGAATTGGGCAACCTGGGGATCCGCTCCCCTGGTTGGGTGAGTATGTCTGTGCCAGGCTGATGTGGCATGGGCATTGAGGGGTTCCTCTCCCAGCTCCAGAGCTGGGGGCATGGAAGTGTTTCTCTCTGTGGGGTAATAGTGTGGGAGTGACAGGCTGGCGCCATGTGGGAACCACAGCACTGACCCATCTCCTCCTCTGCAGGCTGCTGCACCTGGCAATCATCCATAGCTTCCCGGCACTGGCATTCTTCTGCATCACCCACCTGCCCACGGAGGTGCTCGAGATCCAGAACGACTTGTTCCAGGTATGTGCATGTGCGCGTGCTTCAATCCGGGTCATCCCCCGCCAGCCCTCAGGAATGGCCTGGCAGGTGGACCTGTCCAGATTAGCCATTCCCCACACCCCCTAGTGCCTAGGCCCCCCTGGGTTCTGTGATGCTCTCACCCCCAGGGTCAGCACTGTAGGTATTTGGGGTGCCTTGGTTGAAGCAAGTCATGCAGAAAGCTGCCTTTGGCTGGTGTGTGGGGTACCCAGATAGGACCCTGAAAATGCAGACACTCAGGCTGGCACTGTATGCAGCCCCATAGTTATCAGAGGCTCCAAGCCAACATGAGCACCCCTGCGGGTGGAGCTGCCCGGATCTCCCCCCAACCCTCCCTCGGAGTGAAGTCTGCAGCGTTCCCACTTCCCCCACCCAGGGGAGGCTGTGGGGTTGGTAGCTTCTACTATTCCCATGGGCCCTGCCGGGATTGGTCTACTGCATGATGGCCTTGCTGTCATCCCCTGCCAACTGCCCCAACCTGTAGGGTCCCTGTGTCCTCCCGATGCCGCCCCTGACCCCTTACTGTCTTGCTGCCCACAGACCCCACTTCACCTGGCCGTGTACTTGGAGCAGCCCAACGTGGTGAGGGCACTGATCCACAATGGGGTGAGCCTGGCCCTGCAGGACCGCAACGGCAACACCCCTCTGCATGTGGCCTGTGAGCAGCAGAACCTACAGTGCGCCAAGCAGCTGCTGCAGGAGCCAGGGGAGAGCACAGAGCCTCGAAGGAGCCTGCAGGACCTGCAGCTCCAGAACTGGCAAGGTGAGGAGCAAGGCAGGGGTGCCAGAGGCAGTGCCCGGCTCCGTAGCTGCAGGGTAGGCGTGTGATGGGTGCAGAAACCGTCTTTTTGTTCGGTGTTTGTGCTAGGCACTAGTTAATGGGGCCCTGGTCTGCAACTGGGGCTCCTCAGCGCTACAGGAATACAGTACAATAATAGCTGCCTCTGGGTCTCTCTCCTCCCCAGGCTTAGCCTGTCTGCACATCAGCACCTTGAAGGGGAACCTGCAGCTGATGAAACTGCTGCTGCGGAGTGGAGCTGACATTAACGTCCAGGTAGTACACAGGCTGGTGGGTGAGAGCAGCTGGCCTTGGCACTGCCAGCTGTATTGCTCTGTGCACCTTCCCCAGATCAGTATCCTGAGGAGTCCCTCTAGCCTCCCAGTTTCTGGAAGCTGGTTCCCCAAGTGGCAGCAAGTTTGATGGGGCATGGGCCCTGGTGGGCACCAGACTCCCAAGTGGAGGTTCCCAGCTCCATGCCACTGCTCTCCTGAGCAGAGAGAAGTCTCCAGATCTGCCTGGTGGCAGGCAGGGGGCAGGGCCAGCAGGTCCCCTTCAGGCTGGTGGCAGGTGCCCATTGTGATGCAGCCTGTGTGCCCTATCGGGGTTCCATCCCCTCGCCCTGTGCCCTATGCTGGCAGCTGCAGGGGCGGGACAAAGCAGGGCCCATTCTAACGCCCTGGGCACTGCTGGTTGCAGGACGGCACAAGTGGGAAGACGCCCCTGCACCTGGCAGTGGAGAGCCGTGACCGCGAGGCAGTTCAGTACCTGCTCAGCAAGGGGGCCCACGTGGATGCCCTGATGTACAACGGCTGCACCCCGCTACACCTGGCTGTGGGCAGGAAGGACGCCGCCATGGCGGCCATACTGTACCATTCGGGGGCTGACACCCTGCTGAGGAACATGGAAGACGAGACCGCCCAGGACCTGGCCGACGGCAATGACGACGTGAGTCTGTCCATGCGCTCTCCTGCGAGGAAACACGTGGTGGGGTGTCTAGGGAGGAGGCCGTGGCCCTGGGACAGGAGTGCTGGAGATGGTGGGTGCTCCAGTGCAGCAGGAGGCGCTGTAGGGCTCAGGGCAGGAGCGGCAGCTGTGGGGGAGCTTGCAGTTGCCCTGTCTGTCCCCACCCCGCTCAGAGCGGCATGGCGATGGGCTGTGTATCTCATCAGCACTAACCCACCATTAGCTGTGCACTTCCCCTGGGGTGCCTGGGCTGGGCTGGGCTGTGTTGACTCCAGCTTGAGATGCATTCAGTTCCCAGGGAGCATGCTCTCCCCTGGCCTCTCCAGCACTAACCCTGATCTCTCCATGCCCTTTGCCTTGACAGCTCCTCGCCCTCCTGCCTTTCGATGACCTGAAGATCTCGGGAAAGCTGGTGGTGTGCTCTGACTGAGCAACCAGACTCTGACTTAGGGGGCCGTCCCAGTGCCCCTGGTTCCCCACGCCCGATGGGACCCCACTCACCCAGCCATGGCACTACAGCTGGCAGGAGCAGAGCCGGCTCGGGAAATCTTTCCCCTTGTAGCAGCCTCCGTGGCCCCCAGCTCTCCACCCGAACACCCTTCCCTGAGCAGTTGGAAGTTGGAGGAAGTTGCATGCGCTGCATGGGACCCTTGGATGGTGCCTTCAGGGTGGCTGCTGCTGCTCTTTCCCCTGCCTGCAATGGGAGCAGCCAGCAGGGGGCTCCGGTCTCAGACTGCATGGAGGAGCAGCTGGGAGGGGGTGTTTCCTGGTCCCAGACTGTGCAGTGGGGAGTGCTTTTCCCCCCACACCTCCAGACACTGCTGGAGCAGTTGCAGGGGCTCCCACCGCCCTTCCCCAGGAGACACAGACTCTCATAAACCCTTCTTCTCTACTGCCAAGATCTGGACCTCATGATTCCCTCAGTGACCACCAGGGGCTGCACGCTCTGACTTCTTGCCGCTTGAAGGCTTCAGCACCCCCATGAGCAGAATTGCCCTGTACCCCAGCCAGCCCCTCCCCAGCCAGGAGGGAGCTGGGCCAGACGGGACATGAAGATGAGCAGGAGGGAGCCCTCTTCCTGTGGGCGGAGCTGGGTGGGGAGGTACAGGTCTCCTTCTGGGGCAGGGGCCCATCTGCCTCTTCCCAAGGAAATCACATCCCCTGCTCCCTGAGATTCCCTATTTGTTTCCCTATGTGAGCCCAGCTTAGCTAATGCTGCTCCCTGCTTGGGCAGTTCCATCCAGCCAACTTACACTCCCAGCTGCAGTCGTAGCTGGACTCGCAGAGGAAGGAGGGGCTGGGAGACCTGGTGTTTTATCCCCAGCTCTGCTACTGGGTGGCTGCATCACCCTGGACAAAGTGCCTGTCCCTTCCTTGTGCCTCAGTTTCCCCCTCTGAAAGGGTATAACAACACCAACCCACCCTGCAGGGCAGTGCACACATGCTTGTGTGTGAGGAGCTTAGTCCATTGACAACAGTAAAGGACCTGGAGATTCTCCAGTGGAAGAGCCTGGAGAGGGGCCCAGGGTTCTTCCCTGATGATTAGTCAGTTCCCCTCTTGGGGCTGCCATGTGTCTCCCCACCCCACCCCTGGCATGGCTGCCTCTCTGTGGCAGATGTGTAGCTAGTGAGTGTAGCATTTGAGAGCCAGTGGGGGAGCCATGGTGCCTGTGACCCCATCTAAACTGGCGACAGTCTCAGCTCGCTGCTTTGGAATGGCTGTTATTGGGTGGGGGCAAGTCCTGGATGGCGCAATCGCCTGGGATGCTCTGGAGAGCCTGCTCCTTTCTCCCCAATTCTTGGAAGGGCAGCTGCAATAGTGTTTTGCCAGGAAAAGCTGCAAAACCTCTTAGCAAGCACTTTGTGAGCCTAGGCGCAGCCTCTGCGGCCCCTCTGGGCATCTCAAATCATTGGCTGTTTCTCTCCCTTCCCCTCCCCCCCCCGCATTTTAGCACTTACTCACACCCTCCTGTGGTCACAAATGAGTTGAGTTTACTGGCCTCAGCTAAAATATAGTGGCAATGGCTCTGGGGCTGCTCAAACTAGCTCCATCTTCATTTTGGTGTGATTGGTGGGGTCTGCCCAGGACTAGAACAGTGTAGTGGGGGATGTGAGAGAAGAGCTAGAGGGAAATTATTTTTCAAAGGTGGAGCTTTTTAAAATAATCATCTCAGGAAAAAAAACCACAATCTGTTCTGTGCTGCCCCCTTGTGGCTGTTGATGGCATTGCGGCACCTCCCCTACGTTGCTAGGTCTCAGTGCTGAGCCCCTGGCAAGGTGTGGCTTGTTGAATGCTCTGGTGCCTGTGACTGGGGAGCTCCGGTGTCGTGCTAGGGAAGCACGGATGGCCTGAGCTGTTGCTGGTGGTTAGGGAGGGGGCATTCAAAATGTTATTTAAAGAATAAAAGAATCAGTCCTCTAGCAAATGATCTCTGTGTTGATACCACTCTCCTCCCCCTCCCTCGTGGCTCTGTGCAGAGGAAGCAGCGAGCCCACAGCGGCTGCCACTGCTCAGCCCCCAAAGGAAGCTCTCTGGGAGCTGGGGTGAAGTTGCACCATCCTGCTGCCAGTGTTGGAGCTGTGGTTCCGGAAGTACATGTGCCCAGAGCTGGTGGAGGCTGACCGCCAGTGTGCTGGGGCGGTGCCTGGAGAATTCTGGGTGCCAGGCTGGAGCGCTCCAGCCTCTCGGTTCTTGTCCCAAAGGCAAACAAATAAACTGGGCCTTCGTTGGCTAAGCTGCACTTGGATCATCCCAAACAGCTTTCTGCAGGAGCCTGTGTGACTCAGGGGACTGAAGTGGTGAGAGCAGGGGCCTGGCAGTCAACACTTCTGGGCTCTCTCAACTGCGCGGGGGCGGGGGGGAGTGTGGTCTGGTGTCTCACAAAACTGGGTGACTGGACAACAAAACTGCAGATGAAATTCAGTGTTGCTAAATGCACATTGGAAAACATAATCCCAACTATACATACAAAATGATGGGGTCTAAATTAGCTGCTACCACTCAAGAAAGAGATTGTAGAGTGACTGGATAGTTCTCTGAAAACATCTGCTCAATGTGCAGCGGCTATCAAAAAAGGTAACGATGTTAGGAACCATTTGGAAAGGGATAAATTAGAAAATATCATAATGCCACTATAATTCCATGGTATGCCACCCTTGAATACTGTGTGCAGTTCTGGTTGCCCCTATCTCAAATAGGATATATTAGAAATGGAAAAGGTACAGAGAAGGACAACAAAAATAATTAAGGGTATGGAACAGCTTCCATAGGAGGAGAGATTAAAAAGACTAGGACTTTTCAGCTTTGAAAAGAGACGCCTAAGAGGGATATGATAAAGGTCTATAAAATAATTAATGGTGTGGAGAAAATGAATAAGGAAGTGTTATTTACCCAATTAAATGAATAGGCACCACGTTTAAAACAAAAGGATGTACTTCTCACAATGCGCAGTCACCCTGTGGAACTCGTTGAGGGCATGTTGTGAAAGCTAATGCTATAATGGGATTTAAAAAAGAATTTGATAAGTTCATGGGAGGCTAGGTCCATCCCTGGCTGTTAGCTAAGGTGGTCATGGACACAACCCCATGTTCTGGATGGCCCTAGCCTAGGCCTCTGACTGCCAGAAGCTGGGACTGGTTGACTGGATTGATCACTTGATAGTTGCCTCCTTCCGTTCGTTCCCTTTGAAGCAGCTGGCACCGGCCACCATTGGAAGACCGGATACTCTGCTAGATGGACCATTACCCAGAATGTCCATTCTGGTGGCTAGGGGAGGAGACTGGCAGCCAGGGCTTCAGGCCTCTATCCCTCAGTTATCTCTACAACCACTTTACTATGTTCCTAGGTGAGTAAATTCCTCCTCGGTGCCTCAGCATCCTACTCTATACAATGGGGAGTGGGTAAAGCACCCTGAAATCCTGTGATTGGGCTAGGAAAGGGCAACGGCTCTTTCTTCTGTGGAGCATTTCATCTCTAGGCCATGGGTTCGAAGCCAGAGTGGGATCTGATGCTGCTTTGGTGGCCTATGTGAAATTAGTTTGGGAAGGGCAGGGAGGGTCCTATTCCCTGAGGTTCCCATCCCCAGGGGCACTGATTGGCTCCCAGTTTGTCAGCAGTGAGGCCAGGAACTGAGTGGCCCATAAAGGCTGATCTCCCCTCTTTCCCATGGGGCAGGGCTTGGTGGGTAGGTGACACCAAGCTGCACTGGCTACAGCAGTGTGTGGATGCGGGACTCTGCCCTGGGAGGAGGAGGGAGCAAGTGATGGTTACAACCTCCTGGAAGCCCTGCTTTGTCTCCTAACAGACTGAGACTACCCTTCAGGGAGCATTCCCAGTGGGCTGTGGAGGGAGCCGAGTGCCTCTCTAAAGCAAATCCACATCAGCGTGTGACCTTACCCCAATTGAGCTCTGTTGGCCCGGGGCCACTGCCCCAGGCTGCTGGGCCAAGGTTGGGTGCAAGCTATGCTGTTCCTAGGGTGGGGTTCCATGTGCCTGCTGAGGCAGCCCCGGCTCGAGGAAGAGGGAGACAGCATTGCCTGCAGCCCAGCTCTCTGGCGAAAGGTGTGTGACTGAACTGAGAGGTGCTCCCTGCCCCAGGCATGATTCCTCATTGCAAGAGACCCCAGGTCTGCCTCCTCCTAGAGCCATAGTGAGCACTGAATCCCAGTGCAGGCTGGTGCAGGAGGCACTGGACTGAACTTTACCCCCATGTTGCCCGCATACCTCAGTACTGCCTGGAGGCAGTCTCTGCCCCTGAGGGGATCGCTCTGGCTGCAAGCGTGCTACAGCTAGTGAATGGGGGTGGTGGGCAATCTTTTGGCCTGACTGTGGCTGCTTCTGACTCATGAGCTTGTTGGCGCTGGCAAGCCCCAAGTAGCTCGTGCTAGGGGCCTGAAGGAGCCACTCCTGGAGCGGGGAGGCAGCAGGAGGCTGTTCCTGCTCCTGGAGGCTGTTCCTGCTCCTGAAGCCTGTACCCAGAGGGAGACACCAGCAACTGTGTAAGCTGCGTTATGCTGTGATGGATTAACACATGGGACCATGTGGCCTGTGCCCAGGGGCTCTGGCCAGTGGGGGGCCCTGGATGTGGGGGGCCAAAACATTCTGTGTCCAGGGCCCCAATAAACTTAAATCTGCTTCTACTCAGCACCCTGATACCTCACTTTGCTCCCCCCGCTGATCATGCCCTCAAATCCCACCCACAGCCCCCTGCTGCTCTGCTCTGCCCCCCCACATGCCCCTCAACCCCCCCCACAGTCCCCTCCTGCTCCACTCTGCCCCCCCACATGTCCCTCAAACCCCCCCACAGTCCCCTCCTGCTCCACTCTGCCCACCCACATGCCCCTCAACCCTGCCCCACAGTCCCCTCCTGCTCCACTCTGCCCCCCACATGCCCCTCAACCCTGTCCCACAGTCCCCTCCTGCTCCACTCTGCCCCCC